TATAGTGTCATGCTTTAAATCGCATGTGTTCAAACAGAATGTGCTCTTTGAGTAGTAATTTATAGTGTTTTCTAGTAAATCTTGGATAACTTAGATTTAAATTTGTGATAAAAGATTATTTGATTTCCAGTTATATTTCCTCTAAATCCTGTCTCCCTTATTTCTGCCTTGTCCTTTGTATTGTAATATATTTGCCTGAGTAGATCCTTGAATTTTTAGCTTTAAATCGTGTCATAAATCTGGTGTCTATTTCTATGCATGCGTCTTGTCAGCCTAGCAACTTAAGGAACTATCATAGAAAGGCAAATTTTCCAGTAACTGAGCATACCTTTGTATCTTCCTAATGCATGGAAGAGTATAGTATGTCACACATAAGTGTAATGTTGTCAATATATTGTAATGAATAACTGATGTTTCATTGGAAATGTTTAAACTGACCTGCCACATCACAAGTTACTGTTCTCTTGGCAATCAGCCATCCATGGAACATGGGGACAGATGTCAGTGCTTGCTATACTCAGAGCTTTTGCCTCTAACCATTGCATACGTGTGTATAATAGATGGAAAATTTAGGATTTGAAAGGAGGGAATGATTGAAGCAGAGCCATAGGCTTTAGATTGAGGAAAAACAGTTTTCTCTGATATGGAAGGCTAGAACTTAGTAAGCACTGCTCTCTGCCGGGTGCCAAACTCAGTACTTGGCCATTTTTTTGCTATATTTAGTCCACAAGCACATCCCCGTGAGAAACCAGTTGCTGTGCTTGCCCCCAATTACAGATGTGGAAACTGAAATTTAGATCACATGATGTGCAGAGCAGGTATAAGTTAAGTCTGTTTTGATTCCAAAACCAGGACCATTTCTCCCTTGAGCCTAGATTTTTCAAGATGTTCTGATCTGCTGACAGTCTCCCTCTCAGAGGAAACCTTGGAAGTAAAAGCGGTGCCCTGGAAGCAGTGGGGATTGCGGAGTTTTCTTTCTGTCAGTCTAGAAGCTCCCCCTAATGCCTGCTGCCTCTGGCCCTGTGCCATGCCCACTTCATGCTTCCTGCCTTCCTGGTGGTACACTTGTGGGGCAGTGCTGCTGCAGGTGCCAAGTGGTGATTGTCCTCAGCAGCTGTGTGTGAGCTTCTCTATGTGGCTTAGCAGAAGTGTAATTTAGTAAGGACACAGGTACAGATCCTCACTCTGTTGCTGATTAGTTCCTGGCCTGGGAGCTGTTCCTTGGCCCAGTGGAACCATGGCTTGCTCTCTTGTAAGTGAGGTAGTGATCCACACAGTAGTGCTGCTTGGAATGGCCCTGATCTGTGCCTGCCCAAAGTGAGATGCCGCGCTTTCACCAGCAGCCGGCCTCAGAGCTTACCTCTGTTCAGTGGACTTCAGTGTGGTTTGGATATTTTGGTTTTGGCAGTAAGAATTTCTCAGCAAAGGAAGCAGTCTGTTGACTTAGACTCAGATACTGTGGCCTCCTCTTGTTCACTAGTCATCTCTCCTCAGCATGCAGCCTGGTGACTTAGAGGAGACTTGCTCTGGGCTGGCTATGAAAATTAGCCTAGCATTGAGTCTAAGGACAGCAAATATGGACCAGACAAAGACTGGTATGGGATGGTTACTTTTACACTTTAGTTTTACCTGGCAGAGCGAGGTGACTTCTTGGCACTTGTAGAAAGGTCTGAGACAAGGCAGTGGGTCCTAGCCTTGGGTTTCCTCTCACAAGAGAACAGAGGCAGAATGAAGGCCTGGTTCAATGAGCCTAGAACGCTCTGGGCAGAGCGGGGCCAATGTAGGGGAGTCTTGGTGCAAGAATCTCTTTTTGTGGGTGGAGCATAAGTATAGTGCCTTACCTCTTCTTTTTTCTTTTCTATTTTAACAAATGATTGTTTTAACCTGAAATTTTAAATGATGCCTGGTAAACAACATGGTCTTAAGTTTGATTTTTGGGTCCCTCCCAAAAATAGTTTTGAACTTTTATGATTCTTGTTAGTAATTTCAAGCATGATGGCCTTCTTTAGAGATGAGATTGCTGGACGTTAAACACGGGGCCTTGAACATACTAAGTAAGCATGCTCTGATTACCCCAGCCCACAGCAGTCTTGTTTTGTTACTACAATTAGAAATGAGAGTCAGACAAGGTGGTATATGCCTGTAATCCCAGCACTCAGGAGGCTGATACAGGAGGACTGCTGGAGTTTGAAGCCAGCCTGGACTACAGTGTGAGTTCATGGCCAGCCAGAACTGTATAATGAAACCTTATCTCAAAAAAGAGAGAGAAAGATACAGAATTTGTCTGTTTATCTGTTAAGATTATATCATATGTTATATATCCTAATTTAAGATTGTATCCTAAGTTAACATTGTATCCTATGTGATTTTAGACTTGCAGCCTCTAGAACTGTCAGAAATAATTATCTGTTGTTTATTAATACCCAGCCTATGACTATGGTAGTTTTTTTTTTTTTATAGTAGCTGGAAGTGACTAGGAGAGGGAGACTGCTAACAACATAAAGCCTCCTCATCTAGATGAGCATGAAACTAGATTCCACAGTGCTTAAAAATAGATAATACTAAGACACGCTTACAGAGATGACTACTCACAAACAGGTGCCTATTTCACTCGATCACAAATGGGTGGAGAATCTGCCAAAACTGCCAAAATAAGTGAGCATGATACTTAGAGACAGATTAACATCCATAGTAACAGGGACTGGCGGTAAAACGAAGCAGGTATGACAAAAAAACAACTTGGAATCTAGTAAATGAAACAGACCTTAGCTAGAATGATACAGTCTATTGTGGACATGGTCAAAGACGGAGCATTGGCAGTAAGTCACCAAAGGTGAGCCAGATTGCAGCAAGAGAGACAAAATGAGAAAAATTCAAGGCCCTCAATTTAGGCAGGCCTAGAGCCAGGCCCACCTATTGATGTGATAGGTGTGTGAATAGAATTGATTTGATTTTTGACTTAGAGTAATTAGAGTCTACTTTTCTTCTACCTGCCCCAGAATCTTTCTGATAAAAGATTCCATTAGAGAGAGGGCACACTCTGTCAGGAATGGTACTTATTAGGTGACCTGACAGTGAGCTCTTGCTTATCACCATGGCCAATGCCAGTTAGTACCTCGATCAGGGCCGTGTTGGCATCTACAGGAGAAATCTGTACCACAGGGAAGAGCTCACACTTAGTAGAGAACATGACAGAAGTCTAGATGGCCGGCTGGCCAATACCCTTTCCCCTACTGCTTCGCATCCACAAGTCCCATTCCTGAAGGTTGGCTTTGGGCCTATGAAGATGTCTCAACACTGGCTGGAACTCTGTCAGGTTTTAAGACACATTTGGATGATTTTTACCTGGTTGGCAGGCAGGAGCAAGCAGACCCTATGTTAGTGGCCTTGGTGAGGGGGCATTTGAGTGTGAGGAGACAATCCTGCATGGCAGGTCCAGGGAGCAGAGCCTGTGTTGTTGGCCTGGGGAAAGGACCTTACCTTGCTGGCCTGGGGGAAGAAGGGGCCTTCAGTTGGTCTGGATATGAGAATCATGTGTTGCTAGCTGGGAAAGAGAAGGCTCTGCTGGCCTGGGGAGAAGAATCTCTATGTTGTTATCTGGGGAGCCACCATGGTTTTGGCCTGGTGAAGGGCCCTGTGTTTTTGGCTGGAGGAGTCCGCTATGCTGAGCTGGGTGGGGGAGGCAAATAGAAATCCTAATTCAAATACCATGGACTCCTGGCCTTATTCCTGATATTTCTTGAATAGATAATTTCCTCATTTACTGTTATCCTTTGAGCCATTTCCAGAAGCTTTGAAGAGTGGTTTTCATCATTTCAGGTCTCCCTGGGGAGCAGGCTGCAAAGTTCCTGCCAGGCTAAGTTCGGCTCACCCACAGTCATGAGTTTTTGGAGAAGAAAAGCTAGTTTAAAAGAAATTTTGCTCTTTTCCAGTGCTTTCTGTGGCAGTGTCATCTCTATTTCTCTCTCACTTTACTTGCCCAATCTCACTGTGGCTCACATAGGCACATGAGTCGTGGTCTGGTTAAAGCAGACTTCATGGGCCTGTGCTTTCTGTGATGAGATTGACTGTGAGCTGCAAACAATTGCTACCAGTGCCCTGTAAGAGCACCGCCTGTGTTAAACTAGCTTTCTAGAATTATCTAGCTCAAGCACATGTTCTTTTGAAGGACTGATTATTTATCCGGTAGATCTTTATTCTTGTCTTTTAAAGGAAAAGCACCTAAAGCCAGAAACACTGGCAGATGATTTTACTTATTTCAGAGTTGCTTTGCTCCAAATTCACATTGCTCAATTCAGTTCATTTGTGGTATCTGTGAACCGGTGTCATAACACAAGGTTTAGCACAGAACAGTGCTGCAGGACTCCTGCAGCTTCTCTCTGCCTTTTGCAAGATCTCCTACACTGCTGCATGCATAGTGTTTTGAGAATGCCTTTACAGAGAATACAAAAGGCTTCCTAGTCCTAGCAGTAAGCCCATTCTTCATAGTTGACTTTGCTCCAATGATTCAGGGAGACTATAGGGACTAAGGGAAAATCAGAATAGAGAGGGGACTAGAATTGGATAGTGACCTTCTAGGCCTTTTTTCCTTGATCTCTCTAAGGGCTCTAGGTCTCAGATCTGTGACTGACTTACAAATGTCTTCAGATGCTTCATTTTGGGATGCCAATTGAGGAAAATGCTTTTATTTCCTGAAGTCTAAAGAGGTGGACCTGGACACTCATTATCCCCTGCTGTGCTTTCAGCAGTGCCAGGGTGGAGGGAAGTCAGATGGCCTGGGTTAGACTCTCATTCCATTGGGAATACCTATGTCACCTTACGGCAAATGGTTGATCTCCATTTCTCTGGAGGAGAATGGGAATCCTTTGCCATGTATCTTGAGATTGGGTTGCCTGTGTGTGTGGACTATGAGGCCAATGGAAGTCTTGCCTAAGAGGTTTTTTTTTTTTAAATTTATTCATGTATGTGTTGATTTATTCCTTTACTTTGCTGCTTTGCAGGAGTTTTCAACGCTTGCAAAAGAGCTCAACATTTGCAGGGAACAGCTGCTTGAGAAGGAAAAAGAAATTGCTGAACTGAAAGCAGAAAGGAACAACATGAGGGTCAGTGGAGCTCTGGTTTAAGTGTTTTGTGCTTTTTCCTTCTGTAGAGTGTGTTCAGTATTAAATGTTGCTTAAAATTTGTGATAGAAGGCAAAGCATGGTGGCATATGCCTTCAATCCCAACATTCTGAGCCAGGAATGTCTTGAGTTAGAGGTCAGCCTGGGCTAGCTAGTAAGTCCTCAAGCCAGCCTAGACTACAAAATGAGACCTTCTTGTTAATAAAAGAAATTAGTGATGGAAATTCATGACATTCGAATACAATTGAGGGAAATTTACCTAACTCTACTGAATTGTAGGAATTTGAACTTGTTTGACCATGAGATTATGAAGGATTTGAATGTGAAATTGAAGGTGCTCTTTACACGCCCCCTTTGGCCTGGTTTCAGCTGTTCCTGGAACATCTGGAGTTCCTTGTCTCCAGGCATGAACGCTCTCTCGAAACGACTGTGATGAAGCGGCAGGCGCGGTGTCCTGCAGGAGTGTCCACAGAGATGGAAGTGCTAAAAGCACTGACATTCTTATTTGACCACCACAAGACCCTGGACGAAGAGGTACATGAGCTACACTAGTGGTTCTGGGTTCTTACACTTGCTGGGTTCATGGCAGACTTTGCATGTGTTTGTTTACCTTTAAGGTTTGCTAAGTTTTTGAGTTCTTGTAAACAGACTTTCTGTATTAAAAGGCAATGTTCTGCATAATCAACAAACACTAACTGGAATGTGAGTCTTCAATTGATTATTTCTGAATATTGACTGCCCATTAAGAACTGGATAGTGTTCATTTATTTAGGAACAAGAGTTTCCCGGCCTTAATATTTAAAGCCATTAACAAGGACATTTTCTTGACAGTACTAGCAATGAAAGACATTGAAAGTACTTTATTATATGCCTTTCATCAATATCAGGATAACTATATGGAAAGTGTGCGTATGCATATAAAAACTCAACTCTTTTCAGGTGCGAGAGCAATTACGTGTAGCACTGCAAAGGTGCAGCTTGCTGGAAGAGGAACTGGGCGCTACGCACAAGGAGGTAATTGTGGGACATCATCCTAGCCCTGAAAAGGGAAAATTATTTTATTTTAATCTCTTAAAAAACAGTGTGAAGCCTGTAATACTATTGGATTAGATTTTTATTTCAGATTGCAAGAATCTCTAAATTTGTTGTCAAGCAGTCAGTACATTCTGTTTCTAGTAATCTGGTTCTGCTATGGATGGTCAGCTTTGGCATGTACTGTCTTTTTTATACTATGTTCAGCACTGTAGAATTATGTTTTTCCAAATGGAATTTTGCTGTCTTTACTCATTACTCTTCCATAAGTTATTGTAGTCTCATACTCAGTTTTCGATTGTAGCTAATGACTCTTAAAAAACAGAATAATGAGAAAAAATCACCAAGAGATGGAGTGCTTGACCATGAACAAGAAGAAACACCAAGCACTAATGGAAAGGTAAGTCCTTGAGATCTCTCTTTGTTCTGTTGCTGATTTCTTATATTTTGTGGTTCGTGTGTGATGCTGTTTGGATGCTGTTGCTGGAATGGCCTGCTTCCAGCTAAAGTGATTGTTGAGAGTCCTATCATCCAACAGATGGCATAAATCCATTTTGATAGTCCCTATGTTCAAAAGTATTTTATTTGGTAGTACACTAAGGTTATTTAAGAGTGTCCATTTTACCCATCAGAGATCTTCTGCTGGCTCCTTAAGCCATGAGGAAGACCTTGCCAAAATAATTGTGCTCCAAGAAGTCATACACAAACATTCAAAAGAGCAGAGTCAGATGAAGGAGCTCCTGGCTGCACTTTCCAGCCATGTGTCAGAGCTGCAAGAAAATCTTGACACAGCAAGAAAGGATCTCATCAAGTCTGAAGAGATGAACAAGAAATTGGAACGAGATGTTCATGAAATAAGTGATAAAAATTACAGGGTTGTCATAATGTTGAGTGCTTGGAGTGTTAAGGATAATGATTCCTTTTTTTTTTTTGTCCTTTCCTTGGTCGGTTATTTTCAGCATTTGCACTGTTGAATGAGTATAAATATGAATAATACAACACAGTATTGCTGTCAGATCGTGACATACCGCCTCCCCCTGGTTGAGAAATTTCTCCTTTTCTGTGGTCTTTTAAAAAGGTAGAGGAGAACTTGCCCAGCTTTTCCCACTTAGTTTATGGGAGTTTGTCCTCCACCCTCATGTGGATTCTTCATCTTTGCAGCTTCTTGGCTGTCATCATGTGTTCTTCTTTATGTTCAGCTTCTCAAGTACATGCACTCCTTAAACAAGGATTTTCAGTACTAGTTGTGCTTTGAGTTCGCTAAAGAGATGTGAGTATTCTCTGGGACTGTGGCAAAGGGAGCATTATCAGGTGTCTTCTAATTTTTTCATATTTTTCCTCAGGCACAGAGGTATGGTATTGAATTTTGGATGTTACATCAGCTCTAATGTGTGAATAGTTTTTGGGTAGTTTAGGCTTTGTGCTTATCTTGCCTATGAGATCTCATTTCATGTGAAATTGTATTTACAACATTCTGCTTTGCACCTGTACTTGTATCTTTGGTTTTATTTCTCTTGCTATACATTTTACTTTTTAGTGGCATTCTTAGCCAGAATATAATCAAATTAAGCAAGTCATTTTAGTGGAATGTTCAGTGTCAGCAGTCTGTTTTGTGACATTTGGATGTATTTATAATTTATACTGTTAACTAACTGAGCAATATTTTTCTTTTCTTTTCCTGTTTTTTTTTTTTTTTTTGGACATATTGGGTTTGAACCTAGGGTTTTTCACATACTAGGCAAGCACCAAACCACTCACCAAACCATTTTCTTTTCTTTTTTCTTTTCTTTTGGTACTATGAATTGAACTCATGATGTTCTGCTTGACAGGCAAGTGCTATGCCATGGAGCTATATCCCTGACCCTTTTTCTTCTTTTCAAACTTATTTTATTTATTAGTGTTTGGTTTTTTGAAAAAAGGATCTTGTGGTGTAATTCAAGCTGGCCTTGAACTCATGGCAGTTCTCCTGCCTCAGCCTCTCACATGCTGGGATTACAGACATGTGGCACCAAGCCTGGCATTGTATTTTCATCTTTTTGACAATCTCATTTATCAGTTGTGTCCTTCTTTCCAGTATTTGTAAAAGAAGTGCAGCAACACATCTGTAATCCCAGCTACTTGTGGACTGAAGTGGGAGGTTTGCCAGTTTAAGGTCAGCCTGGGCAATTTAGGAAGACACTGACTCAAAAAGAGCTGAGTATCCCAAGCATAGTGGGTGAACCCTATCTTTCTAGCTACCCAGGAGACTGAGGCAGACAATCATAAGTTCAAGGGTAGGCTGCCCAATTTAGCAAGACCTTGTTTTGAAATTAAAAGGAAAAAAATATGGGACCATAGCTCAGTGTTAGAGTACCCCTGCCTTCTATTCCCAGTACCACACACAACCACGGAGGAAAACTCTTTCTTCCTGGTTCTCTAATTCAGCATGCTGGCTGACGGTCTGTGTGCTTCCATTGTTGGTTTTGATTTCTTATGCCACCTTTGTGTTTGTTTTATTTTAACCATCTCCAGATTCAATTCTAATCCAGGCCTCAGGTCCCTATCAATTTGTAGTTTGTCCATGAAGCTCCCCTCTCAGCCCCTCCCCATTCTGTGATGGCTCTGCACAGCTAACCAGGCAAGCACGTGTGAGTCTGAGCTGGATTATGACTGATTAGTGGGGCTTGGGGTTTTTGTCATTAAAAATGTATTTTGCTCAGTAGTGATCAATTATATTTAATATATAATTTGTCAATGTGGTTACAAGCAAGATATAATTGGTTGAATGTTTTTCCTTAGATTGTACAGGATCTGCATGATTCATGAGTGAAGTATTTCCTAGGTTAAAAAATAATCTGGGCTCACTGCAGTGGCACATGCCTGTAATGCCAGCTACTGGGGAAGCTAAGAAGGAGGATTTTAAGTCTGAGGCCAGCATGAGAAGTTTAGCAATGTGCTATGTCAAAATAAAAATATAAACGTGGCTGGCAGTGTAGTTTGTTGAGTGGCCCAGCTGGATTCAACCCTGCATACTGCAGGAGCAAGGGGAGGGGCCACTGCTGAGTGTAAAATTTATGGGAACTTTATACAGACAATACGAATCAGATTTTATTGATTATAATCAGAATTCTAAATCTCATCAACTTATAGGGCATATGCTATAGTCTTTAATGGACTACTTTTTAATTAAAATGCCTCCTATCTAGTACTGTGCTAGCTTTTATTGTTACGTATTTTAGGATGCCTAGCTTTCTTTTTTTTTTTTCCATTCCATTCCACTCCTTTGTATTCCACAGTATCTCGGATGGAATCTAGGCCTGTGCACTGAGATACACACATGACCCTTTTTTTTTTTCAGTATTATTTTTTATTGTGAGACAGGATCGTGCTAAATCACCAAGATGAGCTCAAACTTGGCAGCCTTCCTGCCTCAGCCTACCAGAGTGCTGTGATTTCATGTGTATGCCACTGCACGAGGGATAAATGATATATTTTAGGAAGTTGTAAATCATATTCTAGGTGAAGATTTTACTGCATTGCACAAAAAATGATTAACTAAAAATAAGTTTGTTCAGTTTTTTGTGTTTTTCTGAGACAGGATGACACCATGCAGTTCAGGCTGGCTTTGAACTCATGTAGTGCAGGTTGGCAGTTCTCCAGGCTTAGCTTCACAAATGCGGGGATTACAAGTCTGCACCACCATGCCTGGCTCTTCAGTTATATAATAGATGTTGCTGTAACATCCTTGTCATCATGGGAATATTAGAGAGTAGGTGGTTATCAGGGCCCTTTGTTCTATACAGTGTCTTGCTTTAAATCGCATGTGTTCAAATAGAATGTGCTCTTTGAGTAGTAATTTATAGTGTTTTCTAATAAATCTTGGATAACTTAGATTTAAATTTGTGATAAAAGATTATTTGATTTCCAGTTATATTTTCTCTAAATCCTGTCTCTCTTATTTCTGTCTTGTCCTTCATATTGTAATATATTTGCCTGAGTAGATCCTTGAATTTTTAGCTTTAAATCGTGTCATAAATCTGGTGTCTATTTCTTTGCATGCGTCTTGTTAGCCTAGCAACTTAAGGAAACATCATAGAAAGGTAAATTTTCCAGTAACTGAGCATACCTTTGTATCTTCCTAATGCATGGAAGAGTATAGTATGTCACACATAAGTGTAATGTTGTCAATATATTGCAATGAATAAGTGATGTTTCATTGGAAATGTTTAAACTGACCTGCCACATCACAAGTTACTGTTCTCTTGGCAATCAGCCATCCATGGAACATGGGGACAGATGTCAGTGTTTGCTTCACTCAGTGCTTTTGCCTCTAACCATTGCATGCATGTGTATAATAGACATAGAATTTAGGATTTGAAAGGACGGAATGATTGAAGCAGAGCCATAGGCTTTAGATTGAGGAAAACTAGTTTTTTCTGATATGGAAGGCTAGAACTTAGTAAGCACTGCTCTCTGCCAGGTGCCAAACTCAGTGCTTGGGCATTTTTTTGCTATATTTAGTCCACAAACACATCCCTGTGAGAAACCAGTTGCTGTGCTTGCCCCCAATTACAGATGTGGAAACTGAAATTTAGATCACATGATGTGCAGAGCAGGTAGGAGTTAAGTGTGTTTTGATTTCAAAACCAGGACCATTTCTCCCTTGGGCCTAGATTTGTCAAGATGCTCTGATCTGCTGACAGTCTCCCTCTCAGAGTAAAACTCGAAAGTAAAAGCAGTACCCTGGGAGCAGTGGGGATTGTGGGGTTTTCTTTCTGTCCATCTAGAAGCTCCCCCTAATGCCTGCTGCCTCTGGCCCTGTGCCATGCCCGCTTCATGCTTCCTGCCTTCCTGGTGGTACACTTGTGGGGCAGTGCTGCTGCAGGTGCCAAGTAGTGATTGTCCTCAGCAGCTGTGTGTGAGCTTCTCTATGTGGCTGAGCAGAAGGGAAATTTACTAAGGACACGGGTACAGATCCTCACTCTGTTGCTGATTAGTTCCTGGCCTGGGAGCTGTTCCTTGGCCCAGTGGAACCATGGCTTGCTCTCTTGTAAGTGAGGTAGTGATCCACACAGTAGTGCTGCTTGGAATGGCCCTGATCTGTGCCTGCCCAAAGTGAGATGCCGCGCTTTCACCAGCAGCCGGCCTCAGAGCTTACCTCTGTTCAGTGGACTTCAGTGTGGTTTGGATATTTTGGTTTTGGCAGTAAGAATTTCTCAGCAAAGGAAGCAGTCTGTTGACTTAGACTCAGACACTGTGGCCTCCTCTTGTTCACTAGTCATCTCTCCTCAGCATGCAGCCTGGTGACTTTGAGAAGACTTGCTCTGGGCTGGCTGTGAAGATTAGCCTAGCAGTGAGTCTAAGGACAGCAAATATGGGCCAGACAAAGAGCGATATGGGATGGTTACTTCTTCATTTCAGTTTTACTGGGCAGACTAAGGTGACTTCTTGGCACTTATAGACATGTCTGAGACAAGGCAGTGGGCCCTAGCCTTGTGCTTTCCTCCCACAAGAGAACAGAGGCAGAATGAAGACCTGGTTCAGTGAGCCTGGAAGGCTCTGGGCAGAGCAGGGGCTAGTGTAGGGGAGTCTTGGTGCAAGAATCTCTTTTTGTGGGTGGAGCATACGTATAGTGCCTTACCTCTTCTTTTTTCTTTTCTATTTTAACAAATGATTATTTTAACGTGAAATTTAAATGATGCCTGGCAAACAATGTCCTAAGTTTGATTTCTTTTTCCCTCCCAAAAAGTTTTTTTGAACTTTTATGATTCATGTTGTTGATTTCAAGCTTGATGGACTTTTTTAGAGATGAGATTGCTGGCGGTTAAACACAGGGCCTCAAACAAGCTAAGTAAGTGAGCTCTGGTTACCCCAGCCCCCGACAGTCTTTTGTTTTGTTATTACAATTAGAAATGAGAGCCAGACAAGGTGATATATGCCTGTAATCCCAGCACTCAGGAGGCTGATAAGGGAGGACTGCTGGAGTTTGAAGCCAGCCTGGGCTATCATGTGAGTTCATGGCCAGCCAGAACTGTATAATGAAACCTTATCTCAAAAAAAAGAGAGAAAGATACAGAATTTATCTGTTTATCTGTTAAGATTATATCCTAGCGGGCTGGAAGTTTAGCTCAGCAGCATAAACGCCTGCCTTGTAAGCAGGCAGTCGTGAGTTCGATCCCCAGCACCAATAAAAAGGAAAAAGACAAAAAAAAAAAAAATTATATCCTAAATGCTCTCAGCTCACACTAGTCTAGGTGGTCTTCAGTGAGCTGCTACAGGACTATAATGGAATCTGTATCCTTTATACCATTGTACAGATAAATAAATTAACTATTCACCACTTGTTGTTCACCATGAATGTTTCATGAAATCTAGTCCTGCTTCAAAACCCGAAAATAACAACCTTCTAAACAGGGCCTAACCAGACCCTGAAAGAGTTCACATATGCACTATTTCCACAGTCCTGCCTTCTTCAACACATAGGCATACTCATGGGCCATCCCCTAAAAGAAATCCCAGGGTCTGCGTGACCCTCTTTTAATAATATACCCAGGATTATTATTATTTTTTTATTTAAGGAGAAAAAGAAAAAAAAAAACAGAAAAAGGATACAAGTGATACAGAATTTCAAAAAAAAAAAAATAAACAGTAGGAAGTCACTAGTTAATAGATTACATACTGTCATCTTAGAAATGGTTGTTCAGATTACAAAATTAAAGCATATAAAGTAGACATTCAAACTGTGAGACTACAAACAATTCTGTTCAATGATCCCACAAAAACTTAGCAATATGGTTATCTATCTTATACACTTAAATATACATGCAATTATATCCTTTAGAGCACTTTCTTTTCCTCTCTTTTTTACTATGACAATTATACATTTTGGGTTTTATTACTCCCACAGTTCTTATTACTTTCTATTTGAAGAGAATAAAATCCAATGTGACATAACAAAACAGAGTCAGTCAAATCAAAAGAATGGATATAGTACATAATATAAAAACGGAAGACAAAGTGATGATCATTGGGTACCATAATGCCTCTTGCTATCTTAAAAAGAATTGCCTATATCATCAGTTATAATAAAACTGAAAACATTAAAGAACAAAACCAATAAAAGCAAAACATTGGAGACATTGCAGGACTTCAAAAAAAGATAATATGCAAACCCAAAACCCAGGATTATTTTATGAAGCCACATGGAAGTAGGGTTTTAGGCTGCATGCAAATGCTTCTGCTCATAACATTTGGTCCACACAGTGAGAAACAGAAGCCACACACATGCATATTTGGGTCTTCGCTCATGCTGTCCTTGTCTTGTTTCTTGCTAGAGGTAAAAGTATTGACAGTTTCCCTGAGGCTTCGGCCCCCACTAGTGTTCCTTTGAGTGACATCAGTAACTGAAGATATGTGTCACAGGCTCTTCAGTAATGAGAGTAACTTTGTTAACCTGAAGTGATAAAGTGCAGTGAACAGGCTTCGTTTAGGACTTCACTGTCCCTCAGTAACTATCCTCAGAGGTACCTGAGGTTGTACGGAGAACAGAATCTTGAAGGGGGGGTGATGCTGTCCCTGGGCTTCCCGGGGCTTCCATGAAGGAAGGCTATAGGTCAACCTGCCCTGCTCTCTCTCTGCTATGTGGTCCATTTCCCCCAGACAAACAGGCCTTCAGGTTGGCATTCAATTAAAATGAGACTTCTCAGGACAGGTAGAAAGTTTAGCTAATAGGTTTTGAGTCAGTTTATGTTATTTAAAGCCTATGTGATGTGTTTTCTTATAATGTACTGTTAGCTGATGTTGTTTTTTCACTCCTCAGTTGCTAGCTTGCAGAGAAGAAGAACGAGATGACAAGACAACGATAAAATGTGGAACTTCCCCTCTCTCCTCTCCGAAGTCCCTTCAGCTAGACAGGCTGCACACAGGGGCGTTGCAAATAGTCAGCCACGAGGACATCAGGGACATGCAAAAGTAAGGAGCAGGTCTCGTAGGCCACCAGACCCCTGAGAAACCTGCTTGTCTTAGTTTTTAAGAACATCTATTAATCTTTTCCTGTGAGAAAAACCAAGTTTTTAAAGAATTCTCAGCAAGCTCATTTGGTTGTGATTATTTAAACGTTAGACCTAGAATGTGTTCTCCTGTTCTGCGGCTGTAGTGACATCCAGTGGAAAAGGCCATCTGTTTGGGCAAAGTTTAGAAAGAATAGGAATTATTTGAAATTAGCACTTGAGAGAAAAGCTCCATTTCTTCAGATCCCACACACTCACTTCTTTTAAGAACTTTCTTTCTATTCCTGGTGAAGAATTTGCCACACGGATGTGGCAGGTTCTGGATCGTGCTATTCTGTGGACAATCGGTGCCTCTCAGGTACCCTCCCACACTCTGGGTCTTCTAAGCTCTTGAGAGTCCCACATTGTCCCTATCCCTTTAGGAAGCATGTTCCATCAGGAGGCCATGAAGGCTTGGTTACTTATAGACTGTTGTTTTCCACACTTCCTCTTAGAAGCTTTTGTTCCATACCAGGCAGTATGATCAAGCAGGCACATTGGTCTCCACAGTGTCCTGAGAGATAGTACAGCTCTCACTTTGCAGGAGAGCAGGATCCAAGGAACCAGCCTGCAGGAGCTGCTGAGAGGGAAGGTGGAATTCCAGTTCTGGCTTCTGAGACCTTGTTCTCTTTCCTGAGGGCTGAGTGTAAACCTCACTGGCTGAGCAAGGCCCCTGCAGAGGGTGTTCCCTTAGATGTCCAAACCAGGCAGGCTAGAGTACAGGCCTCCTCTGAGCAGGGAGCAACATCAGAATCTTGGCTTTCCAGACATAGGTCTGTGGAAGCATTACTGGGACCCTGCATTGCTATGCATAGTGTGCTGTGGGTAAGAGACTGGAAAGGATCTTCAGGGAGTTGAAGTAGGAATATTAAAAATGCAGACTGTTTTGGTACATGTGAGTGGACTGTGGAGTTCTAAAGAGGGCATGTGGTAAAAGTCCATTTTCTTTCCTTCAAGATCAAAAAGTGCCCAGGATGGTCCTGTGAGCAATCCCAGTAGCAGTGACAGCAGGCAGGACTCGCCCCACAAAGCCCCAAAGAAGAAGGGCATCAAGTCCTCCATTGGTCGTTTGTTTGGCAAAAAGGAAAAGGGTCGGCCTGGACAAACTGGCAAAGAATCACCAGGACAAGGTGGGTGGGGTTTCGGCAGCTGTCCTAACTGCTGGGAATGGGAGAACGTGAACTTTGTCCTGTGTGCCTGCCGCAGGTGCGCAGTGCCCACGTGGAGTCATGGCAGAGGGTTCTCCAGAAAAGCCCAGTCTGCTTTCTCAGTCTGCCCATGTGTGAACCAAAGCAGAGCAGTGGACATTCATTTGGCGTGAATGAATAACCCTCATAAGTGCTACTTTACACTCTTGAACATTTGTATGTGTTTGCTTGGAAGCTTACCCTTCAGAAATTATTCAGCTCTCTACCTGCAGAACCTTCAACCTATTTGTGAAACATATAACTTTGCCATGTTAATTTACTGTAAATTTGGGGGCATTTCTGATTTTTTAATAGCTGTTCTTTCTGAAACAGAAACCTCATCTCAGGATGCGTTCCGACTTAGCAAATTGGGAGGAAAGGCTGAAAAAAATCGAAAATTTCAAAAAAAGTAAGCTTTTTGTTATTTCTCCATCTCATGAAACAGGTTTCTGAGTTAACAGTCATTCTTAGCTGATTTTAAGTGTAATTTCTAGCTATGTAAATACATTGTCTTTTGAAAGATGAACCTAAAGCAATGATAGAGCTTTCAGTGATACAAAGAGCTTGCTGCAGCATGCACGCCATAGGTTTGCCTCCATTGACCTAAAGCCTGTTTTAAGCCATCATGTCTGGTGAACAGAGGACATTTGGAAATTTTGACTGAACTCACACATGTATTCTCAGTCTACCTTTTCAGAGTTGTCTCCCAGGATGATAGAATGGGTAATAGTTAGGCTTGGCCATTTGAGCTCTGGCCGCTGAATCCTGGTTAATTCTCTAGTTAGCTGTGTGTCTCTGACAAAGTTACTTATCCTGTGCTTCAGTTTTCTCAACTGTCAAATGGCAGTTACAGTTGTTCATACGTCATGTGGCTGTTTTTCAGTTCAATAGAATTATATATGTGCATGTATATGTTTTATAACATGGACACAATTCCTAAATAAGTTACAATTACAGTCAGGCTTCTGAGACCTTGTTTTCTTTCCTGTTGACTGAGTGCATCCCTCAGTGCCTGAGCAAGGCCCCTGCAGAGGGTGTTCCCTTATGTGTCCAAACAAGGCAGGCTAGAATACAGGCCTGCTCTGAGCAGGGAGCACATCAGAATCTTGGCTTTCCAGACACAGGTCTGTGGAAGCATTACTGGGACCCTGCATCACAATGCATATTGTACTGTGTGTAAGAGACTCGAAACGTTTTTTAGGAAGTTGAAGGTAGGAATATTAAAAATGCAGACTGTTCTTGTACGTGTGAATGGACTGTGGAGCTGGGAAGAGGGTGGTAAAAATCCATTTTATTTCTTTGAAGCTCAACAGGCTCCCAGGAAGGTCCTGTGAACAATCCCAGTACCAGTGACAGCAGGCAGGACGCGCTCCACAAAGCCCCAAAGAAGAAGAGCATCAAGTCCTCCACTGGTCGTTTGTTTGGCAAAAAGAAAAAGGGTCCGCCTGGACAAACTGGCAAAGAATCACCAAGACAAGGTGGGCCGGATTTAGGCAGCTGTCCTAACTGCTGGGATTGGGAGAGCGTGAGCTTTTTCCTATGTACCTGCCACAGGTGTCCAGTGCCCACAAGGAATCATGGCTGAGCGTTCTCCAGACAGCCCAGTCTGCCCACATGTGAACCAGAGCAGAGCAGTGGACATTCATTTGGCGTGAATGAATAACCCTCTTTTATGCTAATTTATACGCTTGAACATTTATATGTGTTTGCTCGGAAGCTTACACTTCAGAAATGATTCAGCTCTCTACCTGCAGAATCTTCTTCCTATTTGTGAAACATATAACTTTGCCATGTTAATTTACTCTAAATTTGGGGAATTTTCTTCTTTTTTGTAGCTGTTGTTTCTGAAACAGAAAACTCATCTCAGGATGCCTTCCAACTTAGCAAATTGGGAGGAAAGGATGAAAAAAATCATCAACTTCAAAAACAGTAAGCTTTTTGTTATTTCTCCATCTCATGAAACATTTTTCTGAGTTAACAGTCATTCTTAGCTGATTTTAAGTGTAATTTCTAGCTATGTAAATACATTGTCTTTTGAAAGATGAACCTAAAGCAGTGATAGAGCTTTCAGTGATACAAAGAGCTTGCTGCAGCATGCACGCCATAGGTTTGCCTCCACTGACCTAAAGCCTGTTTTAAGCCATCATGTCTGGAGAAGAGAGGACATTTGGAAGTCTTAACTGAATTCACACATGTATTCTCAGTCTACCTTTTCAGAGTGTTCTCCCAGGATAATAGAATGGGTAATAGTTAGGCTTGGCCATTTGAGCTCTGGCCGCTGAATCCTGGTTAATTCTCTAGTTAGCTGTGTGTCTCTGACAAAGTTACTTATCCTGTGCTTCAGTTTTCTCAACTGTCAAATGGCAGTTACAGTTGTTCATACATCATGTGGCTGTTTTTCAGTTCAATAGAATTATATATGTGCATGTATATGTTTTATAACATGGACACAATTCCTAAATAAGTTACAATTACAGTCTGGCTTCTGAAACCTTGTTTTCTTTCCTGTTGACTGAGTGCATCCCTCAGTGCCTGAGCAAGGCCCCTGCAGAGGGTGTTCCCTTATGTGTCCAAACAAGGCAGGCTAGAGTATAGGCCTGCTCTGAGCAGGGAGCACATCAGAATCTTGGCTTTCCAGACACAGGTCTGTGGAAGCATTACTGGGACCCTGCATCACAATGCATATTGTACTGTGTGTAAGAGACTCGAAACGTTTTTTAGGAAGTTGAAGGTAGGAATATTAAAAATGCAGACTGTTCTTGTACGTGTGAATGGACTGTGGAGCTGGGAAGAGGGTGGTAAAAATCCATTTTATTTCTTTGAAGCTCAACAGGCTCCCAGGAAGGTCCTGTGAACAATCCCAGTACCAGTGACAGCAGGCAGGACGCGCTCCACAAAGCCCCAAAGAAGAAGAGCATCAAGTCCTCCACTGGTCGTTTGTTTGGCAAAAAGAATAAGGTTCTGCCTGGACAAACTGGCAAAGAATCACCAAGACAAGGTGGGCCGGTTTTAGGCAGCTGTCCTAACTGCTGGGATTGGGAGAGCCTGAGATTTTTCCTATGTGCCTGCTGCAGGTGTCCAGTGCCCATGAGGAGTCATGGCTGAGCGTTCTTCTGACAGCCCAGTTTGCCCACATGTGAAACAAAGCAGAGCAGTGGACATTCATTTGGCTTGAATGAATAACCCTCTTATATGCTAATTTATACGCTTGAACATTTATATGTGTTTGCTCAGAAGCTTACAGTTCAGAAATGATTCAGCTCTCTACCTGCAGAATCTTCTTCCTATTTGTGAAACATATAACTTTGCCATGTTAATTTACTCTAAATTTGGGGAATTTTCTTCTTTTTTGTAGCTGTTGTTTCTGAAACAGAAAACTCATCTCAGGATGCCTTCCAACTTAGCAAACTGGGAGGAAAGGATGAAAAAAATCGTCAACTTCAAAAACAGTACGCTTTTTGTTATTTCTCCATCTCATGAAACAGTTTTCTGAGTTAACAGTCATTCTTAGCTGATTTTAAGTGTAATTTCTAGCTATGTAAATACATTGTCTTTTGAAAGATGAACCTAAAGCAGTGATAGAGCTTTCAGTGATACAAAGAGCTTGCTGCAGCATGCACGCCATAGGTTTGCCTCCACTGACCTAAAGCCTGTTTTAAGCCATCATGTCTGGAGAAGAGAGGACATTTGGAAGTCTTAACTGAATTCACACATGTATTCTCAGTCTACCTTTTCAGAGTGTTCTCCCAGGATAATAGAATGGGTAATAGTTAGGCTTGGCCATTTGAGCTCTGGCCGCTGAATCCTGGTTAATTCTCTAGTTAGCTGTGTGTCTCTGACAAAGTTACTTATCCTGTGCTTCAGTTTTCTCAACTGTCAAATGGCAGTTACAGTTGTTCATACATCATGTGGCTGTTTTTCAGTTCAATAGAATTATATATGTGCATGCATATGTTTTATAACATGGACACAATTCCTAAATAAGTTACAATTACAGTCAGCCTTCTGAAACCTTGTTTTCTTTCCTGTTGACTGAGTGCATCCCTCAGTGCCTGAGCAAGGCCCCTGCAGAGGGTGTTCCCTTATGTGTCCAAACAAGGCAGGCTAGAGTACAGGCCTGCTCTGAGCAGGGAGCACATCAGAATCTTGGCTTTCCAGACACAGGTCTGTGGAAGCATTACTGGGACCCTGCATCACAATGAATATTGTACTGTGTGTAAGAGACTCGAAACGTTTTTTAGGAAGTTGAAGGTAGGAATATTAAAAATGCAGACTGTCCTTAAACGTGTGAATGGACTGTGGATCTGGGAAGAGGGTGGTAAAAATCCATTTTATTTCTTTGAAGCTCAACAGGCTCCCAGGAAGGTCCTGTGAACAATCCCAGTACCAGTGACAGCAGGCAGGACGCGCTCCACAAAGCCCCAAAGAAGAAGAGCATCAAGTCCTCCACTGGTCGTTTGTTTGGCAAAAAGAATAAGGTTCTGCCTGGACAAACTGGCAAAGAATCACCAAGACAAGGTGGGCCGGTTTTAGGCAGCTGTCCTAACTGCTGGGATTGGGAGAGCCTGAGATTTTTCCTATGTGCCTGCTGCAGGTGTCCAATGCCCACGAGGAGTCATGGCTGAGCGTTCTTCTGACAGCCCAGTTTGCCCACATGTGAAACAAAGCAGAGCAGTGGAAATTCATTTGGCGTGAATGAATAACCCTCTCATATGCTAATTTATACGCTTGAACATTTATATGTGTTTGCTCAGAAGCTTACACTTCAGAAATGATTCAGCTCTCTACCTGCAGAATCTTCTTCCTATTTGTGAAACATATAACTTTGCCATGTTAATTTACTCTAAATTTGGTGAATTTTCTTCTTTTTTGTAGCTGTTGTTTCTGAAACAGAAAACTCATCTCAGGATGCCTTCCAACTTAGCAAACTGGGAGGAAAGGATGAAAAAAATCGTCAACTTCAAAAACAGTACGCTTTTTGTTATTTCTCCATCTCATGAAACAGTTTTCTGAGTTAACAGTCATTCTTAGCTGATTTTAAGTGTAATCTCTAGCTATGTAAATACATTGTCTTTTGAAAGATGAACCTAAAGCAGTGATAGAGCTTTCAGTGATACAAAGAGCTTGCTGCAGCATGCACGCCATAGGTTTGCCTCCACTGACCTAAAGCCTGTTTTAAGCCATCATGTCTGGAGAAGAGAGGACATTTGGAAGTCTTAACTGAATTCACACATGTATTCTCAGTCTACCTTTTCAGAGTGTTCTCCCAGGATAATAGAATGGGTAATAGTTAGGCTTGGCCATTTGAGCTCTGGCCGCTGAATCCTGGTTAATTCTCTAGTTAGCTGTGTGTCTCTGACAAAGTTACTTATCCTGTGCTTCAGTTTTCTCAACTGTCAAATGGCAGTTACAGTTGTTCATACATCATGTGGCTGTTTTTCAGTTCAATAGAATTATATATGTGCATGTATATGTTTTATAACATGGACACAATTCCTAAATAAGTTACAATTACAGTCAGGCTTCTGAAACCTTGTTTTCTTTCCTGTTGACTGAGTGCATCCCTCAGTGCCTGAGCAAGGCCCCTGCAGAGGGTGTTCCCTTATGTGTCCAAACAAGGCAGGCTAGAGTACAGGCCTGCTCTGAGCAGGGAGCCCATCAGAATCTTGGCTTTCCAGACACAGGTCTGTGGAAGCATTACTGGGACCCTGCATCACAATGAATATTGTACTGTGTGTAAGAGACTCGAAACGTTTTTTAGGAAGTTGAAGGTAGGAATATTAAAAATGCAGACTGTTCTTGTACGTGTGAATGGACTGTGGAGCTGGGAAGAGGGTGGTAAAAATCCATTTTATTTCTTTGAAGCTCAACAGGCTCCCAGGAAGGTCCTGTGAACAATCCCAGTACCAGTGACGGCAGGCAGGACGCGCTCCACAAAGCCCCAAAGAAGAAGAGCATCAAGTCCTCCACTGGTCGTTTGTTTGGCAAAAAGAATAAGGTTCTGCCTGGACAAACTGGCAAAGAATCACCAAGACAAGGTGGGCCGGTTTTAGGCAGCTGTCCTAACTGCTGGGATTGGGAGAGCCTGAGATTTTTCCTATGTGCCTGCTGCAGGTGTCCAGTGCCCATGAGGAGTCATGACTGAGCGTTCTTCTGACAGCCCAGTTTGCCCACATGTGAAACAAAGCAGAGCAGTGGAAATTCATTTGGCTTGAATGAATAACCCTCTTATGTGCTAATTTATACTCTTGAAGATTTATATGTGTTTGCTCGGAAGCTTACCCTTCAGAAGTGATTCAGCTCTCTACCTGCAGAATCTTCTTCCTATTTGTGAAACATATAACTTTGCCCTGTTAATTTACTCTAAATTTGGGGGCTTTTCTTCTTTTTTGTAGCTGTTGTTTCTGAAACAGAAACCTCATCTCAGGATGCCTTACAACTTAGCAAACTGGGAGGAAAGGATGAAAAAAATCATCAACTTCAAAAACAGTAAGCTTTTTGTTATTTCTCCATCTCATGAAACATTTTTCTGAGTTAACAGTCATTCTTAGCTGATTTTAAGTGTAATTTCTAGCTATGTAAATACATTGTCTTTTGAAAGATGAATCTAAAGCAGTGATAGAGCTTTCAGTGATACAAAGAGCTTGCTGCAGCATGCACGCCATAGGTTTGCCTCCATTGACCTAAAGGCTGTTTTAAGCCATCATGTCTGGAGAACCAAGGACATTTGGAAATTTTGACTTAACTCACACATTTATTCTCAGTCTCCCTTTGCAGAGTTGTCTCCCTAGTGGACAGAGTTGTTAAGAGTTAGGCTTAGACATTTGAGCTCTGGCCGCTGAATCCTGGTTAATTCTCTAGTTAGCTGTGTGTCTCTGACAAAGTTACTTAGCTTGTGCTTCAGTTCTCTAAACTGTCAAATGGCAGTTACAGTTGTTCATACATCATGTGTTTTTTTTTCAGTTCAATAGAATTATATATGTGCACGTATATGTTTTAAAACATGGACACAGGTCCTAAATATGTTACAATTATAGTCAGGCTTCTGAGACCTTGTTCTCTTTCCTGTTGACTGAGTGGAACCCTCACTGGCTGAGCAAGGCCCCTGCAGAGGGTGTTCCCTTATGTGTCCAAACCAAGCAGGCTAGAGTACAGGCCTGCTCTGAGCAGGGAGCACATCAGAATCTTGGCTTTCCAGACACTGGTCTGTGGAAGCATTACTGGGACCCTGAATCACAATGAATATTGTATTGTGTGTAAGAGAGTTGAAAAATTCTTTAGGAAGTTGAAGGTAGGAATATTAAAAATGCACACCTTTCTTGTACATGTGAATGGACTGTGGAGCTGTGAAGAGGGTGGTAAAAGTCCATTTTCTTTCCTTCAAGCTCAATAGGCTCCCAGGATGGTCCTGTGAGCGTTCCCAGCAGCAGTGACAGCAGGGAGGACCCACTCCACAAAGCTCTAAAGAAGAAGAGCATCAAGTCCTCCACTGGTCGTTTGTTTGCCAAAAAGGAAAAGGGTCCGCCTGGACAAACTGGCAAAGAATCACCAAGACAAGGTGGGCCGGTTTTAGGCAGCTGTCCTAACTGCTGGGATTGGGAGAGCATGCGCTTTTTCCTATGTACCTGCCACAGGTGTCCAGTGCCCACAAGGAATCATGGCTGAGCATTCTCCAGACAGCGCAGTCTGCCCACCTGTGAACCAGAGCCGAGCAGTGGACATTCATTTGGCGTGAATGAATAACCCTCTTATATGCTAATTTATACGCTTGGACATTTATATGTGTTTGCTCGGAAGCTTACCCTTCGGAAATTATTCAGCTCTCTACCTGCAGAATCTTCTTCCTATTTGTGAAACATATAACTTTGCCATGTTAATTTACTCTAACTTTGGGGAATTTTCTTCTTTTTTGTAGCTGTTGTTTCTGAAGCCGAAAACTCATCTCAGGATGCCTTCCAACTTAGCAAATTGGGAGGAAAGGATGAAAAAAATCGTCAACTTCAAAAACAGTAAGCTTTTTGTTATTTCTCCATCTCATGAAACAGTTTTCTGAGTTAACAGTCATTCTTAGCTGATTGTAAGTGTAATTTCTAGCTATGTAAATACATTGTCTTTTGAAAGATGAATCTAAAGCAGTGATAGAGCTTCCAGTGATACAAAGAGCTTGCTGCAGCATGCACACCATAGGTTTGCCTCCATTGACCTAAAGCCTGTTTTAAGCCATCATGTCTGGTGAACAGAGGACATTTGGAAATCTTGACTGAATTCACACACGTATTCTCAGTCTACCTTTTCAGAGTGTTCTCCCAGGATGATAGAATGGGTAATAGTTAGGCTTGGCCATTTGAGCTCTGGCCGCTGAATCCTGGTTAATTCTCTAGTTAGCTGTGTGTCTCTGACAAAGTTACTTATCCTGTGCTTCAGTTTTCTCAACTGTCAAATGGCAGTTACAGTTGTTCATACATCATGTGGCTGTTTTTCAGTTCAATAGAATTATATATGTGCATGTATATGTTTTATAACATGGACACAATTCCTAAATAAGTTATAATTACAGTCAGGCTTCTGAAACCTTGTTTTCTTTCCTGTTGACTGAGTGCATCCCTCAGTGCCTGAGCAAGGCCCCTGCAGAGGGTGTTCCCTTATGTGTCCAAACAAGGCAGGCCAGAGTACAGGCCTGCTCTGAGCAGGGAGCACATCAGAATCTTGGCTTTCCAGACACAGGTCTGTGGAAGCATTACTGGGACCCTGCATCACAATGCATATTGTACTGTGTGTAAGAGACTCAAAACGTTTTTTAGGAAGTTGAAGGTAGGAATATTAAAAATGCAGACTGTTCTTGTACGTGTGAATGGACTGTGGAGCTGGGAAGAGGGTGGTAAAAATCCATTTTATTTCTTTGAAGCTCAACAGGCTCCCAGGAAGGTCCTGTGAACAATCCCAGTACCAGTGACAGCAGGCAGGACGCGCTCCACAAAGCCCCAAAGAAGAAGAGCATCAAGTCCTCCACTGGTCGTTTGTTTGGCAAAAAGAAAAAGGGTCTGCCTGGACAAACTGGCAAAGAATCACCAAGACAAGGTGGGCCGGTTTTAGGCAGCTCTCCTAACTGCTGGGATTGGGAGAGCATGAGCTTTTTCCTATGTACCTGTCACAGGTGTCCAGTGCCCACAAGGAATCATGGCTGAGCATTCTCCAGACAGCCCAGTCTGCCCACATGTGAACCAGAGCCGAGCAGTGGACATTCATTTGGCGTGAATGAATAACCCTCTTATATGCTAATTTATACGCTTGAACATTTATATGTGTTTGCTCGGAAGCTTACACTTCAGAAATGATTCAGCTCTCTACCTGCAGAATCTTCTTCCTATTTGTGAAACATGAAACTTTGCCCTGTTAATTTACTCTAAATTTGGGGGCTTTTCTTCTCTTTTGTAGCCGTTGTTTCTGAAACGGAAAACTCATCTCAGGATGCCTTCCAACTTAGCAAATTGGGAGGAAAGGATGAAAAAAATCATCAACTTCAAAAAAAGTAAGCTTTTTGTTATTTCTCCATCTCATGAAACAGTTTTCTGAGTTATCTATCATTCTTAGCTGATTTTAAGTGTAATTTCTAGCTATTGTAAATACATTGTCTTTTGAAAGATGAACCTAAAGCAGTGATAGAGCTTTCAGTGGTACAAAGAGCTTGCTGCAACATGCATGCCATAGGTTTGCCTCCATTGACCTAAAGCCTGTTTTAAGCCATCATGTCTGGAGAACAGAGGACATTTGGAAACTTTGACTGAACTCACATGTGTATTCTCAGTCTTCCTTTGCAGAGTTGTCTCTCTAGATGATAGAATGGGTAATAGTTAGGCTTGGCCATTTGAGCTTTGGCTGCTGAATCCTGGTTAATTCTCTAGTTAGCTGTCTGACAAAGTTATTTAGCTTAGGCTTCAGTTTTCTCAACTGTCAAATGACTGTTACAGTTGTTCATGCATCGTGTGGCTTTTTCTCAGTTTGATAGAATTATATATGTGCATGTATATGTTTTAAAACTTGGACACAAGTCCTAAATAAGCTATAATTAAGGTCACTGTGGTGACTTCTATTGTTTACACAAGTGGTCCTCCAGAAGCATTTACCGTGATATAATTTTACATTTTATCTGAGATTGGATCTCTACTTTACAGTGTATTATTGAACTATAATCCTCTACTAAATCTTAAGGGGCTGAGGAGTGGAGTATAAGTGAGAGCGTACTGGCTTGACATACCATCCCTAGGCCCACATAAAGATAGATTCTGAAAATAATATATACTGTTCCGAATGATTTTGCATAGGGGAGCACAGGCACCAACATATCAGGGAAGTATGTACACTTCTCTGATGTAGGATTGGTTGTGTAAGCTGATCACACCCAAAACTAGAGTTATAAGTGAACTAGATAGGTTGAGACATTTTCCTAGTGAGATGATTAATAAAATATCAATCAAAAAGCTTTCTGCAACAAAATCAGACAGTATGTAATGTCTAAGAGGTACAATTTGAACTTGACAGTAGGGAAAGTTTGAAAGCCTAAGGTAAGATGGGCACACTGGTCTTGAGAAAAGGTGAAAGTTGGTGGGTTCTTGGATAAATTTGTATATGGGAAACATCAGGTGTCCACTTCTCAGTGAAGCCAGTACTGTGTGGAACTCAGAGTGCAAAGGCCCTGACACTAGCGTTGCACTCGAATCCCTAGGAACCCTTTCTGCTGGAAAGTTATGAAATCTCACTCATTTTAGTTGTCTTCTCTGAATTCATGACTGCCTTTTTTTTTTTAAACTTCTATTGGTATGTGTTTGCAGTACATAATAATCATGTTGGTTCTTGGGAGTTGATACATGTCCATGACACATTTCTATTCTTTATTTTCCACCATCCTTGTATTTTGCCAGAATCCCATTCATGCATTTCTCTTATAAACCCTTGTCATGTATACAGATTAAAAATAAGACTATTAAAAAGAAATATATATATATATATATAAGATATATATATCAATATCAATATATATTATATATATATATATATATCAAACATACCAGACTATAAGCCAAAACACATATAAAAGATGGAACACAATTGTACTAAGTTGAAGTATTCCTTTAGATATATTTTCCATGCTGAGTTACAATAACTTTTTTCTTCTATTGTCTGTCTTTTATTTCATAGCTAACTTATATATGAAGTTTTTCATATTATAATGAGTCTTTTGTTTTTTATTTTATTCATTTATTTTTTGAGACAAGAATCATACTTTGTAATTCAGGCTGGACTGAACTCACAGCAGTCCTCCTGATTTAGTTGCCCAAGTGGTGGGATTACAGGCATGTGCTACCACACTTGGCCATAGTAACTGTTTTAAGCAGCTCAACAGTGATGACATGCCATTGCAGGTGAAATTCTGTTATGGAAACATTCTATACAAATACTCAATCTTTGGTGCTCTGTAAATAGAATTTTAT